TACCACCCACCACTACTACTATTACTACCCTTTGCAATGCAATCCCTTCGAACATAGTAGAATCTCTTTTCATCTCTTTTCCTCTACGTTCGTCGTCATCGTTGTCTTCGTCATAGTCGTTGCTGTTGCTGTTGCTGCTTGTTCTGAAAAGCTGTTCCTGATCATTCGCGCGTACTATATTATTTTTCTCTCGGTAAACTAGAACGACAGAGAGGGTATTATAGTGGTAGGGGTAACGTTATCAAACCAAAGCATTGTCTAACTTTAATTGAAAATATTGGAATAAATTTTCCAATAGATGCCGCCAATGAAACCGTCCGCAGCCCTGAGTGCCCACTTTCTCTCTCTCTCTCTCACTCTCTCTCTTTTATACTGTATTCTCTATAGAGAGGTTGGTTCCCACCGGTGGGTTGCTGTTGACCACGATCTACAGATGAAAGAGAATGAGAGAATGAATGAATGAATGAACGAGGGAGAGAGAGAGAGAGAGAAACATCGACAGGTTGGTGAGAAAGGACAGGTAAATAGCCCGTTCGCGGTTCGATTTATAACGGGTGCAGCAGTATCGTTCGTGCAAAAATGACACTCGACTCTTGCAATCATTCGAGCGTTTTTGGACGATCGAAAGAGCGGCAACCAGGCAGGCAACCAGGCAACTAACCAACCAACTCTGTTCATAGGTGGTCCTCGTCGATCACTGCCCCATTGCCTATTTCTCTTTCCATTTTATTTCCGCACGACACAATCACAGGACAAGTCGCATCAACAATTTCAGTGATCCGGCAAATCAAGTTCGGTCCGTTGACTTCGTATTCGAAATATGCATCGGGCGCCGGCATTCGCATACCAACCGAAAGAAATCTTTTTTATCGTTCATACGTTTCCTTTTTTATTTGTTCAAACCTTTTTTCCTTTATACTTTACTTATTTTTCTTCTTTCATTTTCTCTCTCTCTCTCTAAATATAAGATAGTTTAATATATCTTACGTTCTGGATGTTTCTAAATCCGCGATGACAAATAGTAAACGAATAACTAATTAATATTTCTTATGGGTCGTTTTGGTTATTCATTTTACAATAAATAAGTCAAGAGATAAAAAATAATGGGGAAGAAAAAGTATTAGGATTTTAACGAATGTTATAAATGAATCATATGAACAAATACACTAGTCCAATAATTAATATTCTGATATCTTCGCGATTATAACAATTAACGGAGGACACAAATGGATTTCGTATGCGCGCGCGGACGCGCCCTTTTTCCCGGTTTTCGCGACGAACGGTAATGACGCTAACGAATCATCGTAATAACGGCATTTCGAGTCCTCACGATCGACTCTAACTCTCCCTACACCCCCTTCATCTATCTATCTATCTATCTTTTACCAATATAGGCCCTACAATCCCCCCATCTCTCCCTTTCCTCCCTCTAACCCTCTCCTTCTCTCTCTCTCTCTCTCGTTCAACCGCTTATCGAAGTCGATCATTCAATTTCGCGCTGCAAATTGTCCTTGCCGGAAACTCATATCCGGGCACTTCCGGTAGCCCTCCTCCATCTCTGCGTTCCCCACCCCATGAAAGAACCCAACCTATCTCTCTCTCTCTCTCTCTTTCAAGGACGATCAGGAGTCCCAGAAACAGGGAACCACCACCAGTAGCATCACCACCATCACCATCACCATCACCATCACCATAACCATCACCAGGCCGCCATCGCAGTTCAACCCGATGGCTCTTCTTGCTAAGCAGCTAGGAGGATGAGAGACGAACTCTCTTCCGGTTCGTACCCACCCCCCAAACCCAACCCCTTCATCCCTCAACCTATCCTCCTTCTATTCCTCATCCTCTTCTTCTCCTACTCGTCCTCGTCCTCGTCCTCCTCTTCAGAATCCATTTCGCTTCATAGGGCATCATCATCCAGGGACCGAGTTTCACCTGAACTTTACTGGTAGTCCTAGTCTACCTCTCGCTGTTCTATCTTTTCTTTTTTTTTTCTTTTTTAGTCAAGAAAAATAATGAAACAATCGTTAACTCTACGTTAATATCTAACATCATAAACAGAGAAGGAATTTAAGGGATGATAACGAGACCTGCTAAAGCATCAGAATGCATCAACATAAACTGTGATATATTTTTTCTAAAATAATAAATGTTTCTCTCTTTCTTTTTTATCGTTTTATTTCTCTTTTCAAATATCATTACGAATCATTTCCGCACGATTTAATTTCTCATTTACGTCATTACCTTTCTCCTATCCCCGAAGAATAAAATCGCATTATTATTTAAGAAGAAAAAAAAAAAGAACGATGGAAGGTACAAAAAAGTACATCCACGACAGAGAAATAATTGGAATATTTCAAACAAAAATTCTTACTTTCCCGACAATGAAATTTCCTTTTTTTTTTATTTCATCAATTAAGTGTTATATTTAAAAAATGTTCACGCTATTATTACGAAAAGAAAAAAATAGTAATAATGGAAACGTAAGGAAAAAAGAAAAGTCGCGATAACGAATTGATTGACGAAAAATTGAAGTGAGAAATTGATTGACCGATTAGAAATGATGGGGTTGAGAAGTTTGTAACTATATTGCATGCATAGATTGTTATAATATTGGCATCATAGTGGGTATATAATATTCCGCATAATTTTATGAGACTTTTAACATCGCGACAGAGTTTATAGGGCGATCTTTTAGAGCGTAACGAGTACGAACGGCTGTAGAATTACGTCGAGCGTAAACCGATAATGACGCCTGGCATCATCCTTTTACATACACACACGCATACACGCATGCACACACGAGAGAAAAAGAGAGAGAGAGAGAGTGGTAGGAATATACATATTTACCGAAACGCTTCGTGAAAATTTAGATTGTTCCCGCTAAACGATACTAATTGCAACCATTGCAGATACTTGTTAGCAAGCCAAAGGCTCGATTACGTTCGTTCCCTCGTATTTTCATTCGTAATTTTCATTTCAAAGTATATATATGTATATATATGTATGTGTGTATACGTATAAGATCCATGCACATCCATCTTATGCACGAGGAAGAAATTCACGTATGCAATTTTAAGTTTATTCTCAAGATTGGTGATAGTAGTAGATTGTTTCATCTTTAAATTCTACTGTATTTACAATATATTATTATTGTAATATATTAGTAATAGTATATTAAGTATTTGTTAAATAATTACTTAATATACTATTACTGGACATTCTAAGTTTAGATCGCGAATTTCGATTATTCTTCATCTTCAAATATATACGTCTCGAACGAAAATAACAAATTGTAAATATTTGTACGATCAATATATACTCGTTTTTTATTTAGTAGAATAATATTTTTAAAATGCATTTTATTTGTTTGAAATTAGCAGGAAAGTTAGTAGGGACGATTTTAAGAGAAATTTAAAGGATCTTATGTAAATGATGAGTACCAACTATCAAGGGATGATTATACTCGAAATACTAAATCATTTGTAAAACATTTATATCTGCAATCGATGCAACAACAAGAAAAAAAGATTAAAGAAAATCGTACTAAATGCAATATTTAGTTTTGGAATTATGAAATTTGGTTTCGTTTCGTTTCGTGAAACATAAGTTAAAAGGATATCTACAGCATTATCGATAACTCATTAGGACAATGTACATTCAAACTAAATGATATTTATAATTTCGAAGAAGGACCCATCGTCAAGATGCAACACGTTTGTTCAATCGAAACTAAACGATTCTATCTACTTTTCACTGAAATTGGTCAAACAAAATAACATTTCCAATCTCGTTGTTCAATTTACAAACGTGCTAATAAAACATGCAAGTAAAATGAAAGAAAAAAGAGTTATTCCCGATCGTTGGTACGTGGAACTACGAGAGTACGTTCGTAACATTCGAAAACGAAACTTCTGATCCTAACATCGAGATCCTTTTCTTTACTTTTCTTTTCCAAATTGCAATTTTTCATTTTATCAACGAAAGTATTCAATAAACAACATTTTCATACGCGAATAAAAACGTATGCACGTTAAAAAAAAATTGCATTTAAAATTATAAATTATCGTACGAATTATAATAAAATGTGTTAATACATAATTTTCGTTATTTCGAAATAGAATTGTGTTTAAATCGTCCTGTTTTCTGCAAGCAGAGAAAGACAAGGAAAGAGGGGATGAGAGAGAGGTGAGAAGGGAAGGGAAAGGGTGAGGTAGAAACAAACTAGGCTACGTGTGGTTGCTATAATACGCGTTTCATTCCAGTGACGCGGATCTAACGATAACGTCACAGTTTCCCCAGGATTCCTTTCATAACGATTCAAACGAAAGTTTTGCCAGTTTAACGCCAACACACACACACGCATTTATATATATATATATATATATATATATATATATACATATACACAATCGACTAGTTTTACATTACAGTAGGTCTTTGCAAAATTATCATCGATAAATCGTTTTGTATTTTCCTATGTGAAGAAGTATACGTGTTCATTGTTTAAAAAAAAAAACGTTTCAATTTAACCGTTCACACTCGATTTATATTTCGAGAAAAACTGTTAAGGGTGGTTTTTTACTTCACAAACGTAGGACAATAAAGAAAAAGAAAATTAAAAAAGAAAAAAAAAACGAAGAGGAAGAAGAAGAAGAGAAAGTAGTTGGACGCTCCTGCTAAAAATTCAAACTCGCGAATTTACTGTAGAATAAATTTCAAAGTTTTCAGTCAGAAGGCGTATCTTCTTTCTCTCTTTATCTGTGTGTGTGTGTGTTCTTCACATCCCCAACGACGGCAAATCTGAAAAGTTTGACGCATTGTCGTTGAATAATCGGAAACGATTGTCGTGGCACCTTCGAATAAAGAAAAAGATCGTGAAAGAGAGAAAGAGAGAGAGGCATTGTTGAAAAAAAGGGGGAAGAAGAAGATTTTCAAACGCTTTTACTTCTCACTAAAACATTCGTCTATAAATATTAATCCTTTCTATTCTATTCGTAACTGTGCAAATGGCTAATATTATCAAGTAAGTAGATTATTATTATTATTTAATAGAAATTGTATTATACTTTGTTTGTTAGGATTTATTAATTATTATTCGAAAGTAGTGAATCGAAGGAATCAACGTTATCAGTGCCTACGCCAGTGACGATTAATACTGAAATGGAGAACAACAAGAATTTGTCTTCCCATGGAAGAACAAATAATCCGAGAAGAGAAAGCAATGGATTTAATGCTGTTATAAATCACAAGAGAGGACTATTTGGGTAAATATTATTTATTAAATAAAACTATTACTGTTTAAAAATAATTTTTTTTTTGTCAAAATGTGTGATATTAACTGATTGATTTTGAAAACGTATCATCAATTATTTTCTTTGATTTTATTATTCAATATAATGTTATATATCAGTTTAATTTTTATTTGATTGAATTGTTGCAAATGAAAAATATATAATTTATTGTTCTCCATTAACAGAGCACTCATTTCTGGAATAGGCAGTAATATGTCATTGCCATCTTGCATGCCACACGATCAAGATTTTTTACAAGGACAACCTCCGAACTTAGGATTACCTGTTTCACTTCGTACTAATCATAAAAATCTAGATCAGTATCGTTCCGATGACGAACGTCGAAAATTACATCGTACGAATTATTTACAATTAACACCTGTTAATACAGCTTGCGTATCTTTGACTGCTCTCGACAACGATAAAGGTGAATTACATTTATTTTTCCTTCGAATTTTTTAATAAATCGAATAAAAAAATTAATTGAAAAAAATACTTTTACTTTGGGGAGAGAGAGCCATGGTTTAAGTGAAGTATTTTATTTCTATATAATAAAACTTGTAAAATATTAAATATAAGATATATTTAACAATTTGAATCTCTTAGCAAAAGCTCCAATTTTAAAAGTCACGCAATCAACCTCGCAGGATCCGAAAAATAAAAATCTAAGTGATCTGGTATCCACTGTAAGCATGCTTTACGCTAAATTGTTGATAGTAATCGGAATAGCATTACCAATAACAGCAAGCATCACTCATAAAGTACCAATAGTATTAAATCAGGTATGTCGAATAATGCATATCAATTATTTCAATTATCTCTTCTACTTCTTTTTTTTTTTATCGAAAATAAAATATAACATATATGTGAAATGATGTTAAAAAATATTAAAAAACAATTATTTTTTTTATTTTATTAACTTTCTATCTCTCTATTGTTGAACTCTTTTTTTTGTTGTTGTTGTAAATTTTCATACATCAAAGGTTTACGAAGGTAACTGGACTTTTTCAGGGTTTTTATTTATACCTTTACCTTGGAAGCGTTACTTTCGTGATCACCATGTACGCCAGCATGTTGAAAGACAAAGCTGTAAAAAAGCTGATATTGCAGGGCAAAAGACAGGAAGAGACCTTTACCTTTGATGAAAAGGGTGCACGCGTTCACACTAACCAGGTACAATTCTTCTATTATTATTTTTCTTTTTTCTTTTCTTTTCTTTTCTTTTCTTTTCTTTTTACTCCCCTTGTATATTCCATATTTTTATTTCTCTCTTTCGTCATTCTTTATTAACGTAAAAAGATAAAAAGAAAATTCATTTTCTCGTTTACAATTAATTATCTCGAGGAAAACATTTTGATATTGATTTGTAATAATAGATAATAAAACAATGACAATACAAATACGAAAAAATAAACAAAAAGGAAAAGAAAAAGGGTGGTTGTTGAGTTTGAGTAGCCCCAATTTTGATTCCCTCATTTTTGTTCTTCTTCTTCTTCTTCTTTTCTCTCTCTCAGACACAACAATATGGAAGCTTTTGTCTGAGATTCGGTGCTGTAGGATTTGGTGCCGGTTCATTGGTATTTACCGGATTGCAAATTGGGGCGGAAATAGCTTCCGGGCCATTCAGGGCGATTACACCAGCCGCTAGATTACTCCTGATCACAGCTCAGATGCACTTTATATTCCTTAACAGTAAAAATCTTGAATTGGCAAGATTAGGTGCACTCGGTAAATTAGGTCTTATGCATATGATAGCAACGAATCTTTGCGAATGGCTTCAGGTAAGTTGAAAGAAGAAAAAAAAAACAAAAAAAAGAACCGTATTAATTTATTTCGTAGAAATATTATTATTTAATTTTTTCCCCCTCGATTGTAACCCAATACGTTTGTTTGTTAAGAATTCGAATTCGTTGGCACAAAATTTCACACATTTGTGATTATTTAATAATAGTTGGAAGTAATTATTAACAATTCACTGTTTCTATTTTGAATCTCTATTAATAATCATTAGAGAAACACAATATAGACTTTCCTATTCACCTACATAGCTATCTAACCAACACGAATGCACTATAGTATTCACTATACGTATTATCCGTTTAGGTGTAGAACGTGGATGCGCATATTATCAACATATCATTACTTTAACAGCATATAATGAAGTATACACACATATACGTACGTAGTTTATCGTATACTCGGCCCAAATCAATATGACGTCATTTGGGTATAGTAATTCGAATTAATTTAAATAAAAAAAAAGGCTTTTGATTATCGTAAAAAAATAATAAAAAATTCTAAACGTGCCAGAAACAAATATTGAAGGTTTGAAGTATAGAAAAAAAAAAAAAATAATATGAATATGCATAAATTCAACACATCAAATAACAACACACGGCATGGCGCTCATCGAAAATTACGTTCCCATGATCGATAAGCTTTTAATACCTACGTGAATCGATTAAACGAATTTGGTATTTATCGAAATCGAACGTAATATTTATCGGCATCGAATTCTATATGAATATCGAAAACGATTGGCAAAGCCCGCACGCAACCCTGATGTTTGTCGAAATCGAAATCGGCGCTTATCGATATTGAAAATAATAATTTTCGCGATAAAACGGGACGACGACGAACTTTCGGCATTCGAAACAGAGTCACGCGAATATATAACCAATTGGTACACATATCGGAAATAACGCGGACAAGAGTGAGAGAAAAAAGAAAAACAAAAAATACATAAAGAGAGAAAGAGAAAAATTTGCAACGATTTTATTGATCAAAAATTAATTCCTAATTGATTGAGAGATGAAAAAGATTAACCCTTTCGTTTCCGAAATAAACTTTAGTACGATATGTGAGTATGCATTTTATGTGCAAATGAAAAAAGTCCATGGGCACACGCATGTTGCGATTGTTATTTTTAAATAATTAAATTTAAAGATAAATTGCATTAATTTTTTGTCAATAGCGCAAAAATATAGGACACATCGCAATTTCTGTATAGTGCATTCGAGAATTGATTAAAATTACAATCTCATTATAAACATTTTTACATAATATTATATAATATGTAGCATATTATGTTCTATGGTATACTATAGAATTTATATAGATAATTGTTTCCAATATGAGAGAACATATAATACAGAATACCACAATATATAATACTGCAATACCTATATACTGAATTATCTCCATTAGAAATAAGGCTTTTATACAGTATATATATATATATATACTGTATAAAATATACTACTTCTACATAATATATATTACAGTATAATATATTATACAATATAATATATACACATAAGTATCTCTAATATAAAAAGAAAAGGTATTGAATTTTTCTAAGACTTGTCTAAATGACAAAACTTTGTGAAATTTTAGGCTCTCATCGAGGAAACACATAACGAAATTGATCAACTGGGTCACGCATACGAGGGTGAAGAAGAGATGCTGAAATCACTTTTAAGAGATGCCAGTCCTTTTTTATTTCCTTGCACGATCGAATTCAGTTTGATATGTGCGGTAATACTTTTCGAGATGTGGAAAAGAACTGACGAAAGAATCGAAACTAAAGGTATACGTTCTACCAGATCTATGCATCGACTTAGTATCGATTGTACCAGTGCACACAGGTATTCTTTTTTTATTTACATCAAATTTAAACAAATAAAATGTATACAAAAATATTCTAATCCCATCTATTAATTGTGATAAATCGATTTCAATTGTTTCGATGACTATAAAAGAAAATAAAATATTGTCAATCGTGTTAAAGTCTTGATTATTAATTAGATTGTTCGAAAAAATCGTGTCAATTTTTACACACAATAATTCAATAAATAAATCGTCACGAACTTTTCGAATAATTTAATATATTCAAAATTCAATTATAAATCTACAAATGTGTAAATCATTAATCAAATATTAGATCAATCAAATTTCTCCCCTCTCTCTAAAACATTCTAAACGTTAAATTAATCATTTCCAACATGAAATATTACTTTTTTCTTTAGAGGACTCTTTGGTGGAATACTCCTAGTAGCAGCTACAATTTTAAGTTTAATCATGTTCTTCGTATTAAGAGAAACAAAACACAAAATGGCAATCGAACAAGTAACAGCCTTAGAAGCTGCGATCTTATCATTGGGTAATCCACTTAATCCGATCTAACAAACTCTAACTTTAGATTATTATTAATTTAATCGGACTATGTGATATCTACAAAACGACAGGTGCAATAGCTTCGATATCCGGTGCTCTGAAAATTCAACATTTGAACGAGAAAAAATGTTCTAAAACACCAAGATTAGATTCAACCCTTTTAACAGCTGCCCAATCTGGTGTTTACTTGCATTGTCTATTTGGAATAGTTGGTAGCTTGTTAACCATGGGTCCTATGTGGGTGTTATCCTTGATCACAGATTTTTTAACGTTGATACAAAGCACCTGTCAAACTTTACTCGTTAAAGTAAGTTTTTAAATGCTATTTATTGATATTAAAACAAAAATAATGTCTCATATTTTTTTCTTTCTTTTTTAAACATTTCTTTTTTTGATTACAATAATAATATCGCGTTTTAGATCGCATGGAAACGACGTTGTACTACTGGAAAAGAAAAACCTGGTAAAGAACTGATCACGTTTTTAATAGTTGTGAATATAGCATTGTGGACTGTGAATACTTTGGAAAAATCTCGTGCTGGTGTACGTCCAGATCATCTTCATCTGTTTGGTGTCTGGGCTTGGACCATTATTACCCATGTATCCATGCCACTTGCTATCTTCTATCGTTTCCATTCAGCTATTTGTCTATTCGAAGTATGGAAAAGTTGTTACAAGTACAGACCGTCTAACGAAAATTCACGTGCAATTTGTTAAAAAATTGCAACTCAAAAAAACATTATTTCTACCGCAGTCATGTGTTATGTACCCTTATTTCGATCATAAATTATCTTTTTATGTTTTTTAACAATTAATAAAAGAATTTTGACTCTCACACACATAAGAGGATAACGAGAAAGTTTAACTGTATATGAGTATAGTATATAAGACGAAGTACATCTAACTAGATTAATTATTGAAATATTATTAATTAGAAACAATTATTTTTTTAATCGCGAATCTTTACAAAATGTAGTCATGGTAAATTTATTTTTTACTGTATACTATACATTGACGTAAAGAACCAATAGGAGAGAAAAAAAAAAGTAGTATTTTCTTTAAAACATAAAGAAAACGTCTACTTTCTTTTGAACACATTATCGAGAATAAAATAAAGTAATAAGAAAAGAAACTATAATTAATCTCTAGCACACATTTTTTCAAGTCCTTTATATCAACCAAAGTTCGCGAAGCTTTTAATATAAAATGTCAAAATATTATTACACGAGTTCGAACAAACGCATTTCCACAATCCACTCTTTTTCCATCTACCGAAGGGATAGAGATAGACTCTCCTCTTCGATGACCTTTTCATAAAAATTCATCCAAGCGTAAAAATAACGATCCACAATTTCGAATATCGTGTCCACAAAAATAGAGACGGGAAGGGAAAAAAAAAAAAAAAAAAAAACATTAGACCCCTTTTGAAAAAAGGAAAAAAAAAGAAACTGAGAAGACTTTAGGAAAAGTGGAGATGGGTAGGTAGATGATGGGTGGGTTGGTGGGTGGGGAGTGGTTTTCAGTAAGGAGAAAAAAAAAAGGAAAAGGGTATCTCGCGATGAGAATGAGAAGAAAATAGGGAAAGAAGTATAACAATAGTTGGAAATTGACGGAAAGATTTCTACTATCCTTCGGTAAGTTTTATCGATGTACTCGAAGAAGAAAAAGAAAAGGAAGAAGAAGAAGAATAAAAAAAGGAAAAGGGACCGAAGGCCGAGGATAGGGTTGTAAGAGGAGGTTACGAAACGATGGTTGGGAACGTCGACATTTTGATACGGTTTACGCCGTAAACACATTTCGGTGGCAATCACGTCACGAAGGGAGCAAGTCGGTGGTCGAAAGGGAAAGGGAGGGAAAGGGAAGAGCAGTAGCCGATGGTGGATACCTCGAAGGGAGTAAGAGAGAGAGAGAGAGAGAAAGAGGAATAGTGTGCTCGGTGAAGAGCTCTTAGGCAACCCTTTGTGTTGCTCCTAGCACCTCTGCCTCTCTGGCCCTGAAGAGGGCGACCCGGGTTCTCGGGCAAAGCCCTCTGATTTACTTAGCCCATCGAGTGCTCTCGGACTCCTCCGACCAAGAATACTGTATATGCTACTACTACTACTACTACTATTACAACTACTACTATTACTATATACTACAAACTATGCTTCTCGTACCTACTACTGTCCTCCTACTCTATCATCATGCTGATTTAGACGAATTTCTACATCCAAGTCTTCTTCTTTCATATATCTTTTAAACTAACCTACATAAATTAACTCTCATATTAGTTATGACTTTCTCTTTTTAACTATCTCTCTCTCTCTCTCTCTATGATAATTCGAGTCTTATTTAATTTGTTTTTTTTTCTCTTTCAATCTCTGATTTTTCATACAAGATATATTCGTAAAAATATTGCTGATCGAGTATTTAAAAATCTAATTGATCTATATAATAATATTAATAATAAGAATAATAAGAATAATATGTACATTTTTTGTTTGATTTCTTATATTATACTGCAATCTGTAATTAAATTAAAGTAAGATAATTATATTGTACTTTATGCAATTAAATTTCAAATTCGCGAAAAAAGTCATTTAATAAATCCCGTTACATTAGAGTGTCCGATACACTTTTAAAAATTGATTTCGAGGAAGAAGACGGTACTCCGATCATATACTCCGTGCTTTTAAAAAACAATACACATTTATTTCGATTAATTAACAATTATTTCATCTATATCAAACACTAATATATTTTTTATTAATATTTCAAATTGTTTTAAAGTTCTTGACCAGCGATAACATCGAGTTAAACATTTTAACCGTAAAAATCAAAAAAACTTGGATGGCCCAAATACCCTTTTAGACAAACCCTGTAATTTAACATTGCTTTTTCGAGGACAGTTGATTCGAATTTCGGTCGAGTCGTGGTCAAGGGTTCGTTTGATGGAAACGAAGGATGTGTTGAAGAGTACACCACAGATGTCCGAGAAATCCCAAAAATCGTTCGAATTCGTTACTTGTCGCTTGCTTAAAAAGAACTCGAACCGAAAAACAAACAAAAATAAAATGCGATGAGATAAGAAGATCGAACAACTGCTTATTCAAGGAGTCACTATTCTTTCACACTTATCTTACTTTTTCTTCTCCCTATTTTCCCGTTTTCTTTTTTCTTTTTTCTTTTTTCTCCCTCCCTATTCCCCATTCCCATCTAACAAAGATTTACTTCCACTAACACTAAACTCCACAAACTATCACCATTACCACCATCACAACCATTGTTTTATCGCTATTCTTTCGCGAATCTTTTTTCCCCCTCTTTCCTCAAAACTTTTTCTAATCTATTCTCATTTCGATTTTTTCCCAACGCAAAAAATATTCTATCTCATTTCTTTTTTTACCTCTCGTGTTTCGAAATGCAATCCACGATTTTTAACTTAAAGAAGAAGAAGAAGAAGAAGAAGAAAAAAAAGCAACATTTTCGTTTTACTTTCGTCGTCGTCGTGAAAAAAAAAAAAAAAATTATTTTCATTTTTATTTTTACCGCAAAGCTCCTTCGAGAAGGATTTCCTTGATTTTTCCGGACGTTTTATATATTTGACGTTGGCGAAAGAAACGGGTCGACAACAAACCTCCTCCTCCTCCTCCTCCTCCTCCTCCTCCTCCCTCCCCCTTAACCACCCACTCCAAGCAACCCCTTTTGCCCGTTCACACCAGGAAATCTCACGATTTATCGGTGTACCGAACTACCTCCTCACCCTTCCACCCCCACCCCTCTACACTCTTGTGTTTCTTGGTAGAACTCAGAATCCTTCTGACACCCTACACGTCGATGATTTCTATCAGGTGTGTATGGTAAAGAGAACGGATAAGAAAAGGACAACGAGAGGAGGAATAAAAGAAACCCTGATATATCCGCCAAACAGGAGGGGATCTTGAAACGCCCTGCGGATTTATCGGCACCAAGGATAATGGATGGTCTAGACGAGATTTTGGTTTTTTTAGTTTCTTTTTTCTTCTTTATTTTTTTTTTTTTTTAAATAATACCATAAGTAAGTACTTACTACCACCGCGACGATCAATCGAGGCTCGAAACTGTGAAGTGTGAACTTTAAACGTTTGCCAATTTTAAAATTTAACGCATCGTCGATCGGATTGCAGAAATTTTTTTACTTTATTATTTTTCTTTAATCTATATAAATCTTAAAAACAAAAAGATATATATGGAAGATATAAAATATGGATTTATATTAATAATTTTTAATGAGATTTAAACGCGAATGTGATAATAAAACGATTAAGTATATTAGAAGAAATGATGTAAAACTTCAAGCAAACTTAAATAACAAGAATAAAAAGAACAAGAAAAAACAATCTAATCCCCGATAATATATATTTAGTAATAAAAAGTCTTTATATACCGCGATGTGTTAATTAAACGTATTCACCGGGTAACGATAATGTTTAAGATATCTCGTGCAAATGTTAAAGAGAACTGCATAAAGATTCCGAAGGATAAGTATGCTAGCGAATAACAACATTCAAATGGAAAGAAGGGAAATGCTCCGATCGGTCGATTCTTGAGAATGTATTTAATTCGATTGGCCTTTGCCGCCATCGGGCAAGCAGACGAGAAGGGTGAGAAAGAGACAAAAAAAATAAAGAGAGGTAGAGAGAGAGAAAGAGAGAAATAGGAGGGTAGGTAGAGACCATTGTGGGGGTTGAGAGAACCTCTGTTTCCGGAGGAAATGAGGGCTTCGCGACTCTCTCTCTCCCATCTCTCCCATTTCCCCTCCCCCAACTCCCTCTTCCTCACGTCATCACCCACTCCAACCCGAACTCTTCCCTCTCTAAACCCCCACCCACCCCCAGTCATCTCTTCACCATCCGATAACCAAGCATCCTTTCGTGTTCGACAAGGATGACGAAAATCGTATTTATATTCCATCTCTCGAGCTCAGGTAAATATTTCCAGTGGGTACGCACCTGAGAAGAGTGTCGCGAAACGAAATTCTACAGTGTCAAGGGAAAGGGAGAAAGCTCTACCTTCAAAATCAACCTCGTTTCACGGACTACCGAGCTTTTTACGAATTTATCCATAAAGAAAAAAAAACAAAAATCTCAACTTCTTACTTCCTTCTTTTTTTTCCTTTTTCCATACCTAAGACATCTTATTTTCCGCTTATATAATAATTAAGAATTGAGGAAGTTGAAAATTGTCGTTAATTATTTCAATTATTCTTTCATTTCGTAATTTCATATTCATAAATCTGCGCGAACTGCATTACTATTTCCAGCCAAATAAATATATATAAATATAATAAGATATACACGCGAAATATGTGTCAGATTTTTAACGAGGATAATGCAATACAAAGATTTATATATGATAACTGCGATTTAACACGACGCGTATAAAGAAAATAAAAACGAAAAATAATAAATCTATAGAAAATAAAAGAGAAATGAAAAAAAGATAATATTTCTCGGGTGTCGCGAATTCAGTGATAGTATCTTCCCTCTTACGAGGGAGAAGGGGCGGGAGCAGTGGGTGGACGAGGAGGAAGAAGAGGAAGAGGAGAAGAAGGTGAGGGGGTGTCTATCGTAGAAGTCGGTCGACGTTTCACAAATGTAATTTTCGCTGTATGCCCGGATTAGAAGAAGCTGGGCTTCTTCTCTTCGTCGAGTTCTCGTTTTGCGGCTTGATAAGTATTGCCCGATTTGGTTCCTCAATGCATCGCGACTGGAAAAGGTATTCGAAAGATGATCTTGAAACGATCGATCGGGCTCCACATGACGTCAGGAGCCAAGCTGGTTTTATACAAAGCCCGGCTATTCGTGATCAAGAAGAGAGAGAGAGAGAGAGAGAGAGAGAGAGACGTTGCCTCGTACAACCTCGAATCTCATTCAACACCGCGACATCTCTTTTAGGATATAAGGAAGAATATCCATGATTGGAAATATATCGTCTTTTTCCCTTGCCGATAGAAAAGACGTTAAAACCTGTCATAATGTTAGATAAGCTTTATTGAACAATCGTATTTTTCTCCTCTTCTTGTTCTTCTTCTTGTTCTTCTTGTTCTTCTTCTCCTTCTTATTATTATTATTTTCTTTTTCTCCTCTCCTTTTTTCCTTTACAAAAGGGCTTACTATCTAAGTTCAACGAAAAGTAACGTGAATTGCGAAAAATTGATATAAAATTCGTTTAATTTTTAATTTAATTAAATTTAATAAATGTCCTTTTTAATTTTATTTATCGTTTAGCCTACTTGTCAATGCCGCTGCGTGAAACAAGGATGATACAACACTTCTTTTTTCTCTTTTATCTTAAATTATATTATATTCTATTATATTATGTTATATTATATATTATATTAAATTAAATTAAATTGTGTAGCATTGCGTGGTTCTATTTCGATTTTTCGAATAAAGACAGATCGGGATTCGAGACGGTAGGACGAAACTTTTGCACGGGAAAAATCTTTCGGATAATCCGATCATCCTTAGCTTCGCCGTAAAAAGATTATTCGCGGGTAAAAAGGTTGCGAAAAGAATTCGAGGCCGTTGCAGTAGATTCGTTTTCATTTTGCAAATGATATAGTTTAAATTAACTAATATTGAATTAATAAATTAAATATATATCGGGTTGATCGAAAAATTCCTGTCGATTTTTATAAGTATAATTCAAAAATAATATATTTTTTATTGATAAATCGGTATGTGAATTTTTTAGATAACTATGAAAAATTCGTGCTGATTTCGAATGAAAATTTTACAACAGCACATTTATATTTTCATATATAATTTTTAATATGTTTATAAATCAAAGCGAATGTTTCTAGCAACCTAATACATGTAATACATGTTTTAATGAGTGATCAAAAATTATTCGATTTTGTTTTCTTCGACGAAAGACATGATTTCCATAAAATTAATATTAAAGAAAACTTCTAACATGAATTACAGCACATATTCTATTTCTTAAAGATTCAATTATTATTCCAAAGCTTATATCGTCGAATAAAAGATCAAATTAAAGATTCTATCCATTAATTATCTCCTTTATATGTAATCATGTGAGATCAATAAATTTAATCTTAATTACTGTTTTCCCTTTTCATTAACATTACCTTAGTTTAATTATGAAAATCCACGCGTATTAAAGATTATTATTTTATACCTCTGTTGGTTTGCCTATTCCCATAGACTTTGATATTCTTGGTTGTGGAACGCATTCAGTTAATGACCATATCTGTTGAAAATAAATGCAAACAATTATTAACTTATATGTTAAATATGGTCAGCGTATTAAAAAGATATTTAATGTGTTTCAAGTGAGAACACACACAAACACTTTCAAAGCTATAAGAAGCTTGTGTGCTATAATATTTGTTTCCTATAATACTCACTTTTGGAATTCCCATTCACGGTTATCAAGAGGACAAACTTGTCGAGTCTTCAACCATCGAGAGATGCAATGGAAATGGAATGCATGCTATGCAACAAAATTCAAAGCTATGTTATTACATACAATGAACATAATATTAACTTAAAACTTTAAATGAGCCACTGATATACCAAAAAATAATACGCATTATTGTATCATCTATTATAAATTGACCGTACAAATTATTTTCATTTAATGAAACAATTCTAAACTTGCAAATTGGTTTTGTTTGCAAAATCAAACTGGCTCAACAATGAACTAAAGATATATCATTCAATAGGTATTCGATGCAAAATATATAGCATAAATATGTATCGACAAAATCAATGCGAATACTTTAAAAACTTACATTACATACACCCCAGGCTACAGTACATTCATCGCTGGTAGCTGAGGCTTGATTAGCTTGGCATTCGATACACAAATCCATAATATGATTCCGGCAAATAGCACAGTTGTCTACAACAATGTCTAAAATACAAAAAATAATAGAATTAATATTAAAATAAATTGCACATATTCCATGAACCAAAAATTAATTATTTATATTTAAATACGTATAAATATTACTAAATAAAATACATACCCCAAGCCCAAAGTGCCACAGCATTCCACTGGAAAGAAATAAAACAAATGTATATATATGTTAGGATGAAACGACAGAAATGAGGTTAGAAACTAAGTATCGCATAATTGTGATAAATACAATTAATTAAATATAAACATTATATGTTAATTCTATATTTTGTTACATACCTTTTTAACTTCGAAACGTTTTTTTTCTCCTTTACTACTGCTAGAAGTAGGTAACTCAATGTCTTCTTCGTCGATTTCCATTGCGGACGCCATATTTAAATTTGGATATGTTTTACCGAATGACATCTAGTGTTCTATTTAAAAAATATTTAAAGTGGTGCGCTAGACAAAAGTAACACAAAATTAGATATATTTATATGTAAGTGATAATAAATATTATAAATATTTAAAAATGATACCACGATATATAATATTATCTTAATAATTGCAAAATAAGTCAATTAATATCTTACGTATTAACACATATGTCAATAATTTACAAAAAGGTTCCTTCATATAAAATAGGTTATATTTGTTAACAAATTATTTGAATTTATATTCTTCTAAAGAATTGAATTTAATATTTGCCTATTAAAAGTATTAAAATAAAATAATGAGGAGAAAGGCTGGAATTGGTGCTATTCATAAACAAAAATTAGAGCAAGAAAAATACAAAGATAAAGGAACAGAGATACAAGAAAATCAATTGGAACAAATGACCAAACAAATGGAAACCTTTCGTGTCAACTTAGAAGAATTTGCGACTAAGCATAAAAGCGAGATTAAAAAGAACGCACAGTTTCGACGACAATTTACAGAGATGTGTGCATCCATCGGTGTTGATCCATTAGCATCTGGGAAAGGTTTTTGGTCGGTGCTAGGAATCGGTGACTTTTACTACGAACTAGCAGTGCAGATCGTTGAAGTATGTATGGCAATGAATTATAAGAACGGCGGTCTGATATCTTTAGATGAATTAAGAACACGTTTGGTGCAAGCAAGAGGTCGACGTAAAGAACATCAAGAAATAACAAATGAAGATTTGTTAGCTGCGTCTAAGAAATTAAAAATATTTGGAAACGGATTCACAATAGTTCCCATAGGTAGAGGAAAGTATTTAGTCCAGTCTGTTCCAGGTGAATTAAGTATGGATCATACTGCGGTGCTACAACAAGCTAGTCTATCTGGAAACGCACACATTTCCAGGTCGATGTTAGAAAATGAGTTGAAATGGGAAAGAGAACGAGCACAGAAAGCATTGGATCATATGGTCAAAGAAGGATTAGCTTGGTTTGATGAACAAGGAGAAAATGAAACCTTGTATTGGTTTCCTAGTTTGTTTACAGCCTGTATCGCCTCCAAAGAATAATAATTTTTCTTTTTTCTTTTTTTAAAGATAATTTATCAGGTAGGAATTCGTCATACTTAAAATGTTGTTATGTTTCCTGTATGAACATGTATTTCCAAAATAGATATATCTGCCGTTTCTTGAAATATTTACAGAAACCAAGATGTGATATTAATCCTACAATTATGACATTACTATGTCAACTTATTTTATTTCCTTCGATGCTTCTAAAATATATATTAAAAGATACTTAATACACGGAAGAAATTCTATAACTATAATATGGTTACAATAAAAAAATAAATATTTTAACATACTTCGGAAGATTTTGTATTTTGTGTTTAGTTAGTTCTTGTTGAGCTGCAAATAATTCTTTTATCAATTCCTCGTTTTCCTTTCTTAATGCATTTATCTTAGCTCGATGTTCTTTTGATTTTTCTTGAAACTTTGTTGTCATCGTCTTGGCTTCTTCTTTCCACCTTGAGTAATGTGAAAGAAATATCATTAAAAACATTAAATACTTATCAAGGTAAAATATTTCTATTACTTTCTGCTAAGTTTTTGATGAACTTCCACGTGATGTGACAATTCTTTTATTTTTTTATCGAATCTTTCTTGCACTTTATTCATTTGCTCCAATAAAACCAATCGACAACAATGTTCCTTGTTTTCTGGTCTAAAAAAAAATACATGCTTAATATAGAATCAATAATGAAATTAAAAAATTATAAGCTTATGCTTACGTTGCATCTGAATTAGGTTTCTTCACTTCCTTTTCCACTGTATAAGCTTGCGTTGCAGCTATGTTTGCATTTAACCCATCCTGTGTCAAAAAAGTTGCTTTTTGATGATTAAGTTCTAAATTATGAATTTTATTTTCCAGAGAATTCTTTTCATATTCCCACTTTTGCATTTCATGATCAAAAGTCATTTGCAAGTGTTTCATTTCTGTTTGAAAATGATCTCTATCTTCCAAAGATCTAGTCAAACGTTTCTCCAAATCATTGCATTGTTCAATCACATTCTTCGTTTTCTCATTAGCTTGTTTTACCTGATTTTCCATGCTGTCGTTATTATCTCGTTGATATTTATTTACTTTATCATTAGCAGTATTTAATCTTTCTTCTAATTCGATTATCTTAACTTCTAAATGGGAAATCTCTTCGTCGTACTTTTTTCTTTGTGCATCATCTTTGTTTTGTAGTTGACGTTCTATAGAATGCAATTTGTGTACAAAATCTAATATTTTAGTTCTCGATCTTTGCAATGCATCTTCAGAACTCTGACGTTTCTTTTCAAATTCTTCCTGAGAAAACCTGTAATCGTTTTCTAGATGTTTTAAAAGTTTAGTTTTGTGTTCCAATTCCACTTTAAGATCTCGAATTTCAGATGTATACTTTTTAACACTTCTTTCATAGTCGTCTTTGATTTTTGTTATCTCTTCTTGCAACATGGCTGTATGTTCTTCTGTTATTTTAGATAATCGAAGTTCAAGTCTACTCTTTTCTTCCAATATATGCGCTTCTCTTTGTAATATCAAATCTTTTTCTCGTACCGCAATTTCTACTAATTCCAAAGCTTCAGACACTTTATTTTTTGTTTCCTCATTTCGAGCCATCAGAGATGCAGTAAATTTCATGGCTTCGTTTAATTTACTTTCCAATTCTATTTTTGAATTTATTGCACTTTGCTTGTTCAATTTTTCATTAGCTAATTCAATTTTCAATGATTCGACGATCTTTAGATTATTTTTATCTTAAATAAAAAACACATAACACATTATTAGAATAATCAATAAATAATGTAATTAATATAATTCAATATACCTTTCTCTTGAATATCTTTTTGGAGATTTTCATATTTTCTCGCAATGTCAGCTTTTTCTTTAAGCAAATCCTCGATTTTATCTTTGCTAGTTTCCCACAATGCTTGTTGTTTTACAAAATTTTCTCTTGCTTGTAATAATTTCCCTTCCAATGCTTTGATAGCTTCTGAATATGTTTCTTTAACGTTGTCGATATGCTCTTCATATAATTTAGAACTTTTACCATCCGTTTTAAAATTCTTCAATTCTTCTTCCAAAGCGTTCACTGCTTTTAATGCCATTTGCCATAACTGATAGACTGAATCCTTTTCCATTTGTAAAATTGTGATACGTTCTTGTAAATTCATTATAATTTCTTTATTATGTATGCTATCGCTGTTACATGTTTCAATATGAATACGAAAAAATTGATCTTTAACGAGATCACCAATATCTCTGTTATCATTTTGTATCGCTTCAAACATTGATCTAATTTTATTTTGTTCTGCCTGCAACAACAAAAAGTTGTATTGAAAGTTTAAAAACATTTTTCATTTCTATTTTATTAAGAAATAATTTAACACTCACCTTGCAAATATTTAAATCTTTCTCAAGATTTTCCACAATTTCATCATATTTGTGTAATACTGAATTGGTATCCCTATTACTGTCCCTTTAAATAAAATCATAAATAATGACAAATTTAAATAATAAGTATATATATAAAATATATTGATACATTTAATTATGTAACCTTAAAACTTACCCATGTTTTGAGATATTTTCTAAATCCGAATCGAGCATATTAATTCACGCGATGACTTAAAAAACGAATAATAATTATCTTTAATATCAAAAATTATAATATTCATTTACTTAATACTTGGACAAACGAAAATTCGTGTAACGAGAAAAATAATTCTGCTTTTGTAAACACAACACAACTTTTTTACCGACTATACTGCACCTGTTTTACCGATGATGCATATGCAACTGCACCCGCGCAGTACGCGATTTAAATTTGTAAATATTTTTACAGGAAAAACAAAGAAAGAAAGAAACAAACAAACAAACAAACAGACAAAACTTGTTTAGTCATTAAAATAAATACGTGATTTGAATTTTTGAAATACATTATAATTAATTATGTAAATTAAAATTAAAATTATCGATATTACGCTCGCGTAAATATAAACAAAAAAATATATATATATATATAAATTATATAAATCAAAGAACGGGTTCATCGATCAAGTACAGGAGAGACTGAATTTTTGTATGAAACATATTTAAATTCTTCGAAAATCATTATATAATTAAATATCGTTTCCTTTTGATTTAACATTTCACGAATGGAAATGACATTAACCGGACAAACAATTTGTTGAATGTGACTTGTTAAAAGAGATAACGCTTATGCTTCAGTAATAAGCGGTGATAGTATAGGAAGTAGATAAGGATAGCGTTTCTCTTCGAATTGTTCAATTGCTATCAATTATATTGCTGAGTTTACCCACAACCATTTGAGACTCTGTATTACGAACAAGCACCGGTGGCATACATATATATATATATATACTTACATAAATATGTATTTGTGACGTTGTTATACGGTAACTACGTAACACACGTTATAATCGCGTGCAGCATAACGTGAATACGTTATGCATGTTGTATTATATCACACATAACAATATGTCATAACTAAACTGTCACACTTGTACATCCTCATACATACTAAATATCTTGTATATATTTATTGTACACTACTGATCAAAATTATTTGACCACGTTGCAATATAAAAGCATGTTGGTTTAAATCAATGTTCTATGTAATTTTTTTTTTTTTATAGAAAATCAATTTGTCCAGCCAAATTAATAATATTCGTGTAAAATATAATTGTATTATTATACAGAATGTCCCAGTATTTTTACATAAAAGAATGATAAAAGCGATCGATATAAATATTTAATCTTCTTTTTTATTATTTTATAACATGGTAAAATAATTTTGATTGGTAACGTAAATTTCCGTGCATCTGTTTGAAACGGAAATTATATGAAATGCATTTGCCAAGCGTATTTGCAAAAAAAACTGAATACTTCTTTTTCTCTTCTTTTTTTCCCTCCCCTTCTCAACCTTATTACCGGTAATTTATTTTTAATTGTAAGTAGGTATACATGTGTGCATACTTATATATTAATTATTTGTTCGTTAACCTGAAACTGACAACGCAAGACAGAATAATGCACGTATGCATAATTTAATAGAATCTCGTTTAAATGACATATATATGTAATGCGTGTGACGTATTTCTTTTTTCAAATAACTTATTTTTATATTTCTTTTATGGATTATATTTTTATTATAAATAATTGACAGTTTTTTTAGAAATATAATATATATCGATAGATAAAAATTCATTTTTTTTTTTTTAAGAAGAAAAAGAAGAAGAATATAAAATTTTCTCAACGAGTTCCTTTGTTAAATTGTAAGAAAAATTCCGGAAAGTGTTTATTTTTATAAACAACGCGATTCAAATATTTTTGATAAGATTTTTGTTGTTCAGCGAGTCTCAAATTTTCCTCAGCAATTTTCTTATTGAGTTCCCTGAAAAATGATTCGTTAGACACGAATAGAACGAAGGTCAATAAAGGTAAAGGAAAAACCTCTTACGTCCTCTTTCGATCCAGTTCACGCTGATAAGCATTGGCAGTTTCAGCATGAGCGTTCATCAGTTTATCCCATTCCTCGTTCATTCCTTTTTCTTCCAATTTCATTTTCTATATCATAGTAAAAAGAAAAAAAAATAAGTTGCACACCTTGTAAATAAATAAAAAAACAAGTGGTCATTTATTGTACGATTTGAGAATCATAAATTATTATGAATTTTTGCAATAATTTTTTATATTTCCCCATACGAGGAGAAGAAAAGAAAAGAAAAAGAAAAAAATTATATGCAACCTTAAGAAATAAATAAATAAAAAAAAATTGCACGATCTCTTGTGGAAGACGTTACTAAGGTTGAAATAAAATTTATAGACGTGTCCATTCGTTGATAAATGAAATGAAAGATAATCGAAGGAAATGAAATATTTGACATAGATGATTGTCATTGAATTGGTATATTATTACCTCGATTTCCTCCATTTGTTTGACTTGCTCGTCTCTAAAAACCTTGAGTTGATCTGCAGTCATGCCCTTGTAACGCGATGCAAGCGGTTTCTTCGGACCATGGCTGCTCTCCGCTTGCTCGGGGGCTTCCGTCAGGAAATCTCCGGTCACGTGATTGTAGATTTCCGCTTTCTTGTCCTCCTCATCTTGAGCGGCTTCGCAAACTCGTCTATGTTCTTGCTCCTCCGCCTTTTAAATTACCCGATGGAAAGATTTTATAGAAAATCCTTTTATTTTTCTCTTTCGAGATATAATTATTATTATTATTACATTGATCCAACTATTCAAAGATTCAAATTAAACGCGGAGGATCCTATCGATTAGGATTATTTATAACTTTTCATCTCGATGGAATAATAATTTATTCATTGAAACACAGCGGCTTCTTCTTTTTCTTTTTACGTTATTTTTCATCGGAGATTAATTAATTTCAGAGAAAAAAATAGCGTTCGATGATATTTATCTTCTTCAAAAGCTTCGATCAATAATGATTCTCTTCATATTTGATTTTCGTATCATTTTCTATTTCCGAGGAATAAAATCGAAAGAGAAAACAACTACGACAAAATTGTAATCTCTTTTTGATCCGAAAAAGAAAAGAAAAAAACAAAAATGGGAATAATCCTTTTTATTCGAAAGTTGAAAGTTAATCGTTAATTATACCAAAGCTCTGTTGAAACTCGCAGTGGCCTCGTTTAACCTTCGACGACATTCTCGTTCCAAGTTTTCCAGCTCGAGAGCACGTTTGTCCCTCGAGACAACGGCTTCCTGGTACGCTTTCTCAGCATCCTCTCGTTCCTTTTCCGCAATTTCGCGTTCCTTCTTTTGCTTTTCGAACCACCAACGCATTTCCTCTTTTTTCATTCGATCTTGTTCTCGAAAGTTGAAGTCCTCGCCTTCGAATCTTAAAATAAATTAAATACATTAACATAAGAATGATATTTTTACCACGAAATAATCCTGACAATTATCCTATCGATTATGATTACATAAAAAAAAAAAAGAAAAAAGGAAAAGTTTAATAAGATAAACACATTCTTAGAGGAAATTATGAATGATCATTAACGTAAGTCTTACGTGATTTATTACAGAAAGCTCATCATTTTTCAGTTTCAATCTCATAAAATTCTATCTTAATAATGTGAACATAAACAGGAATCATTAGTCGTTATTAAAGTCATATCTTTTGTGTAGTTAAATGTTGAGTGTTCTTTGAACGTACGTAACTCATTAAAGAAAGTTGTAAGATTAAAAATTATATAAATTGTTAATTTTTGTTTTTTTTTTTTTTTACTTTTTTATAATCATTACAGTAAGTTTCATCTATATTTGACGTATAATTTTATTTATTTTAATTTTTAAAAATGATAAAAACATATAGATATTTATTATATTTGATTATATTTTAATAATTTAGTCAAATAAAACATGTGAAATACCTTTGAGCTGAGGCTAGTCCTAAACGTGGATCATCATCACCAACTCGGCAAGGTAACGACGTCTTCAAGGAATCCGGATCGTAAAGATCATAATCACGACGATCTTCGCGTCTCTGATGCAGTCTGCGAAACGCTTGAATTTCTTCATTTATACGTCGTCTTTCCTAAAAGTAATCAAAAATATATATAAACCTAAGGAAATTATTTTCTTATAACACTTTCCAATACCCTTAGAATCAATATATCGATTTTTCTTTTATTTTTAATACAATTTTTAACCTTGTAAGAAGTCCCTATTTTTATATAAAAAAAAAAAATCAATTATTATCGGATATACGCAATTTGTTTTCCAAAAATAAAACAAATCCACGTGTTAGATTCTGTACTTTTAAGCCGTAAATAACCTCTCGAGTGTTGAAAGGATTAAAATATTAAAAAGAAAAAGTTCAATGTTAAATTAAATGTGTAAAAATATTGACTAAACTTTGACAAATTTCAGTGGAAAATCGAAACTCTTGTGCTTGAGTTAAGGAAAAAGAAAAAAAGAAATAAATTCGAGTAAGTTAATCGAAGGATTAGAAGAAACTTGGACAGTTTAGCATAGAAAACACGTTAGACCAATACGTTAGATGTTTAAAATGAGGTCAACCTCTTACCTCTGCCTGTTCCTTTTCCAATTGTAAAGCGATTTTACTGCTGCGAACAAGACTCTCGTCCAGTTGGCATTCCTTCGCACGTTCTTCCTCGCGTTGCTGTCTCTTTTCCTCCACTTGCCGATCTAAGAAATTCTTGTCGATCTTTCATTTTCCGAGAAGAATAATAAACAAATATGCATTACATATATATATGTATATATATACACGCATAGGATGTCCCAGTTTTAATTCGCACTAATTTCATTACTATAAATATAGAAAAGTAAGAAACACATATACGAATTTTTAAATGTTTAATTAAAAGATTATAATATATGACAATTGTTTCATTGTTTTCCCCTTTTCGTTTCCTTATTTTTTATTTATAAAATATTTTGATAATATTTTTTTCACTTGAAAATAACTGGAACACCCTATACGTGTTACGAAAGTCCCTGAGTTAACACAGATGTGTATTGTAAGAGTTAAATTATTAAACTCGTGTCAATTAACTCACTCCGATCTTTCTGAAACGAGGGTTAAAGATTCGCGATTTCCTATCTTCGTCTATTTGTCGTCTTCTTTCGATACTAGCTGCAACTTTTCTATCCTCCAAGGTTGAACGTGGAAATAATAACATTTTTCTGTTTATCAAAGTTTCGCGAAAGAAGCAATTTTTTACGTATGTCAGGTTATAAAATCAAATGTCGAATGTACGTTGAACGTGAATGCGTTCAGAAACCCTAAGAAAAAGCGTAGGAATAATATAGGGGTGAAATAATAAAAAAGGGTGGTGTATATTTCGTTACCATGGCGAGTTTGATCATGATACGCGATTCCAAATCGTATCGTATCGTTTAATTGTTTACTCGGTATTATTTTCTTTGTATTTCTTTTAATTTTTTTTTTTTTTAATGGGAGGAAAGGGTTTTTAATTTTCCACATTAATATAAAAGAATAGAATATTTGTTTTTCCCATTGGTCGAATTTCGTTGGATTTAAAATGGATTGCAGGAATGCACGCAACGTGAATTATTCTGTAAACATATTTTTTAATGCATATTCAGATAGAATCAACTTTTTGATCGATAAATATTTAAATTAAAACGCACCACCTTTGTATGTATCTCTTGATGTATTCGGTTTTAATTAATACTTTGTTACACACACACACACAAATTTACACGCGATTTACAATTTATATATTCTCTGAATATTAACAAAATGATGATAATATTAAAGAAAAAAAAAAGATTCATCGTTATAACAATGGGTTTACAATATTTATTTGAGTTAATAATTATTTTTAACAAATTTTTCTTACAATAGGGAAACGTTTCATTTTAAAGAGAGAGGGTTTGTTCGCATTTTAAGATGTGCGTGAAAGGCGTCAACGAGAACAAAGCTAGACGTACTCTAACTTATATACTAACTTATTTACAACACGAGCATTGCACGCGTTCGAGGCGTGTGCGTTTGCTTCGTTATCGTGTCGGTGCATCAAAGTATAAAGCGAAGATCGTAAACGATCACGAATACTCAATGTGTGATGCATAAATGAACGCAAGAAGAGAAAAGACAAAGTGACGAATGCCAGTCACGATCCGTACAAGTTTTGTACACTTTATATACGACAAAAATTATTATCCTTCTTTTTATTTTTTCTTTTTTTTTTTTAAATTATTATTTCGAACAATATTTTCTCTCTTCTTTATTTTATTTTATATTTTATATTTCTCGTTAATTATATTATATATTGTTTAATTTTACAAAACCGAAATTTCATTTTTCATTCGAATGAAACATGTTTCATTACTTTTTTTTCTTTTTTATTATTTATATAATTCAATTTTATTCTTATTATTTTTGTGTGTATCGATAAAATAATTATTCGAGCATAAATAATTCGCGTTATACCTTAAGCTATACGGTCTATACTTCTGTCTAGGTTCTTAACAGTTGATATTTACAGAAAATCAAATTTTACAACTTCCAAGATCTATTTTAATTTTAATGCTCCACGCTTTCGCGTTTAGTTATATAAGATGCTTATAAATCTTCTTCCGGATACGCGCAAACGAGGGAGAAGCTTGCCGACCGAATTTTACATTGTGAAGATAAACAACAGCCATATTTAAAACGTCTTTACCGATAACACAATCAACACACACACTCTCTCACTCTCTCTCTCTCTTTCTCTTTTCCTTTCTCTTTCTTCTTCTTTTTTATTTCACTCTTTTTTCTCTTCTATCACTCATCATCATCATCATCATCATCATCATCATCATCATCATCATCATCATCATCATCATTATTAAATTGCAACTTTGATCGGAAGATGTCTGTGTGATAAAACATAACACGTAATATGTTTCGAAATTATATGCAATAAGAAAAAAAAAGAAAAAAGAAAAAGTCATTTTTCTAGGAAATGAAGGAAAAAGAAGAAAATCTTACGATTAAGAAAAATATAATTATTTGGAGGAAGAGAGAGAGATATATATATATATAATAATGTTAAACCCCTCTATTTTTTTTTTATGTTTCTTTTGCCAAATTAATAAATTGCAAATCAAAATTTCATTGAACGAATGAAAAATTACAAAGAAAGATTCTTAATGACAACGATTTCTCTTATCTATTCTTTAACAACGAGAATAAAAACCAAAAAAAAAAGAGAGGAAATTTAAACGAGATAACACAGCGTTAATAATAAATAATAATTTCGTGCTTTATCTTTATTAAAATAATTCGAAATCGTATACACCGAAGTGGATCTTTTCATGTGATGATTGTCGGACATAATACATGTCACTTTCTCTACGGCTTTCCTTATTCTACGATGTACAATATAATACAATCATGCATAGGTATGATCCATTATTATTCTACGAATAAAATTCGTCTTGCTTTCGCTCGTATTCCAATTTACAATACGATACGAAATAAAATCATCAAAGTATTAACAGTTAATACCATAAAGTGTTCGTGCCGATTTATTCATAGGCGAATTTGGTGTGCCAAGTTGATTGAATGATCCATCATTTTCAATTACAATTGTATGAATTAATGAAAATAATAAATAACACAATAAAAAATATCAAATATAATTGAGAAATATTATTATCGAAAATTATTCGGATTTTTACTTTGTTGAACTCTTTTGAAAAGAGAATTTATTTTTGTCAGTAGAGATTTATAATTATTTATATATAAAGATATATACAAAAATAAGAAATATTATAATTTAAAGAAAGTTAAACGATATTGTGTCTCGTATTAGTGAGTCGAAAATGATATAAAAGAAAAAGGCCTGTTCAATCACGCGTGAATATCTTCATTGTGAGAGAAATTGGCACGCATACGCGATAAACGCTATCGTAATGTCGAGTACGATGTCCATTACAAAAAGTATGCATATATATATATATATATATATGTGTGTATAATACGTGCATCGTATATGTTTGTTTTCGTATGTTTAGCATGCTCCTCGTAATATCGTCATTCGTATAAATAAATAAACCGAGCTCTCGTACAGACATTATTTTTGATAGTTGTCTGTTTATCCCTATTTATTCCCATCCCCCTGCTCTCTTTTTTGCATAAGAAATTATCAACTTTTCGATTATTGTGTACGTAAATTAATTAGTACGCTGGTAATGAACACAAACCGGAATAATAATCATAAAAGATAATACTAATGTAAGAATGAGATTGTAAATTAAACGTAAATTATAAATCATTCGTTTTAAATGTTAATGCGACTTATTGATAATGTGATTTGAGAATAAAATTTTATCAGTTTAATTACATTTTTCATCACATTTTAAAAATCGATAAATAAGATCATTCTTGAAAATTATAATAGGATCTAAGAAAATGAGACTATACGAATGTGTTATTCTGTATAATACATGAATTTTGCATTACTTTAGTCGAATAATTTCGCAAGTAGAAACGATTTTGGCACTAATCCAATAAATGAATAGGCCGGGCATCGTTCGATCCGAGTTTCTATTCCCTTTTTTATTATTTCTTTCTTTCTTCAGAAAGAATAAATTCGTATAGGCAATTTCGTTTTTTTTTTAGTTGATATCTGATCTGATTGATCGGATAAAGTTAATGAAAATACGAGATCAAAATCGTCAAACTCTAATGGATTGAATTTTAAACGACGTCTAACAATATTATCCATTAAATAATTGAACGATTGATTTTTAACCAATATTTCTGACTTTCTTTTTGTTGACAAACCTTTACGATATTTTGTTCTAAACGAATGATATTTTTATTGAATTAGAATTCGACAAATATTATATGATGTTCTTTCCGAAATTTTGCAAATAAGTATGAAGAATTTTGGAAAGAAAGCATAATGAGGTTTCCGAAAAGATGGAAGAAGATAATAGAACAGAACAATAAGTATAATATAATATTATATTTTCCAAAAAGATTCAAAAATAATGACAAAATAGAGATGTAATATTAAATAATAAATAATTATAATGGAAAGATAATATATCAACATAAATATATTGTTGTCAGAAGATATGTAACATTAACAAATAATTTACATTAGAAATGTGTGAAAAAAAAAAAAAAAAGAAAATAGGAAAAAATAAATTTGTAAAAATATCTTTGATTTGATCGGTCCCTGGTATACACACACTACATATATATATACATATATAGGTTTAGTATTAATTTGCAGTCGCAAGTTTCCACGGCAACACGTATTACCGAGCCCCAGAGCGTAAGATACGCCCGTGGCGAAGCGAGGAGACTCTCGGGCGCCTGCGTATTGGAGTGACGTCATTGGCGAACCGGGCAGCCCATCGCCCGCCAGACATTCAGTCTCGTCTTAGCACTTCGAGAGGTCGCAACTATATATCGCGCGATTGCATTTTATTCTATCCCTCTTTTTATCTCTTTATCTTTATTATTTCATTTTTTCCCTTATTTTGATCGGAGTCAAACGATATATATATATTTATATATATATATATATATATAATATTTAATATCAAACGTAATCGTGTGTTGAACGCCCGAGCTTTTTCTATCGCGTTTTTAAATCGTGATATAAATTAAAAGTAACGACAACAACAACAACGATCGATTACTCGAAGAAGAATTACGATTTCGATCGTGGAAAGTGTCTTTTTAAAAAATAAAAAAAAAAAAACAAGAACAATATTTGAGAAAAAGTTTCGAAGAGTCGAGCGAAGGGGTGTATATTAATATTTTGTCTTTTTGCTTTCGCGTTTGAGTGTCGATAAAAGAATATTTAACCAAGGGGAACAAAAGAAAAAGTAGAAAAAGGTGATTCGTCTATTCGCGTAGATTTGTTTTTTTTTTTTGAAGTTAAAAGATTTGTACAGTAGTATATAGAATAATCGAACGGGGATCGAGGTGGGATTGATCGAGAGAATAGAAAGAAGAAGAAGAAGAAGAAGAATTCTAAGTGGAAAGAGGAAGAGGAGAGGAGTTTCTGAGTAAATTTGGTGGGGAGGAAGATCCTGCGTGTTAACTTTTATCTCCTAACGAAAAGATCGATTTATATAACACTACTAGTGGTGTCACATTGAGGGTCTGTCCATCTCTCTGTCATACATACACACATATACACACACACACAAAAACATACATCACATATATGCGTTGGGTTCTCGTTAGATTGATTAAAATAAAAAGTGTCGTGCAAGTAATAACAGTTAGATATTTTCGTTGAATATAAATAATTGTGTGAAATATTGAAAAGTAAGCGCTATAATATGCGCCCAGGGAACACGTTTATTATTATTATGAGATAATGAGCTGCTCGGTAAAGATCTCGTCCGGGAAGAGTTGGAGCGGATCTCAGAGGAGGATCAGCTCGTTGGCGGAGGAGAATACCTGTCCTTCTCCGAACAACGGCGCTGTTCAAAGTTGCGCCCTCTCGCAGACCATTCAAACGAGCAATAACGTATTGGTCGTATCCTCCCAGCAAACTGCTAACTATAATAATAATACCAACGTTAATACAACATCTAATACAATTGGGAATTTGGAAAATTTAACAAATATTATAAACAATCCAAGTATCGTAACAACGTCCAATACAACGAGTGGAATTTCCGTTGGTTGTCCTCCCGTTGTTTATAATTCTACGGTGGCTTCATCTAACATAGCTGGTGTTTTTGGTGCCGGTGGCTGCACCACCGCTCCTGCAGCAGGCGGCATTCCTCAAAGGATCCCTACGCCACGCCCCGTAAAGTCGATTGCTTCGAAGAAAGGGGAAGACACGAGCAAGCTGCTCAAGTACATCGACGATAACGTCATCGGCAAGAACGGCACCTTTTTCGGACCGTTCGGCCGCAGGAAAGGTCAGTTATCAATATTTTTCTCCTTTTTTTCTTGTTTTTTTTTCTTACAGCCTCGCGACAACTGCATTTACAACTGCATCTTACAAATGCATCTTACAAATAATTATTATTCCGACTTTTTTTATCTAGTATATGTCATATCGTCCCGTATGCAACAGAGACGTGTCAAACTCGTATTAACCATGGGATATCAAATTTATTTTAACGAAACCGCAGACACCAACGACAAAAAAAATTCTACCAACCTCGAATGCAAAAGAGGGTTGTTACTTTTTTTTCCGTTTTCGTTTTCTTTTTTTTGTTTGTTTGTATTGTTCCTTAGGGGTCTTGGGTCGAACGCAGTTCAAATTTCGTAACTCTCATAAATTTGCGATTCGATTTCTCCTGGTACGTATCACGTTAAAATGCGAATTTATAAGCAAGCTTTCGTGCAACCGCCATTTTCGATACTTTATTTGTCACGTCAGTTTTCAATCGATTATTAACAAATGTGCAACTTTGATCTGTTCGAAAGTCCTTTAAATATCGCGAGATAATTCATTCTTCTCTTTTTTATGCTCTGACTCAAATTCTCCTCGAGAAATCAAGTTTATTGTTCGCCCCCCCCCTTCTCAACCCCTCATTTCGGAAATTTATTCAAGATATTTTCCGACCTTTTCGGAATAAAGTTCGGAATATTCGTTGTGTATCTTACATTTTTATTCGTAAGAATCGTGTTTTGATATATTTGTTGAAATATTCATTGTAAAACTAAGCAGATTTTGTGCGAACCTTTGGCATTCGACGATACTAACGTCGAATTTCTCAAGGCCATTTTATTCGAATAGAATTGAACGCCCGTGCCACGTTATCGATTATGTAGGATTTGAAATCCATTTTATCACGATTTGATCGAGACCATATGAATCACTATCGTTTTATTCGACCTGCCACGTGATCATATTTTTTCTTCCTTCCGAGTGGAATTAATTGGAGTAATCTTTTTCATTATTTCTAATCTATTTATATACACCTAATTAAAAAAAAATTGCAAAACAAAATATAAAATAACGTTTTACTTTACTATTTATGCATAATTATAGTGTAGATATAAACGAGACGCGATTTCCGTTCTAGTGAAACCCACGTGCTCGTCGCAAAGTGAATTGCTAAAAGTGCTACTTACTCACGCATAACTATTAACGACCGCGAAACGTACTCACGCGTACAAATTCCTTCCATTAAAATCCTCCTAACTAGATTTACTCTCACGAAGAGTAAAGACGACAACGACGACGACGTTACTTTTCTTAGCTATGCTTAGCACGACTTACTTCCACCTCAATTCTAATCTATTTCGAATTGAAAACTTACTTACTCTACTCTAATATATTATACGCGCCCACGTAATATACAGCGTGATTCATTTATCTTTTTCGCAATTTCTAACAACTTTTTAAATTATGCATCAAATAAAATGTCGTTAAAATAGAAAAACAAAATGGCATAACTTGTCGTTAGAATATAAAATTGGTGAACAAATTTTGTGTTAAGTTTTTTTAATTTGTATTTTTTTCAAAGTATTGTATAAGATCTTGAAAATGAAAGAACAATTTTTAAATATAAAACAAACAAACCTATCATTTTCTTTTTTATCAATAACCATCCAACGTGTTTTTCTTTTTTACAAAACAATTACTTTATTATATTATTATACGTTTTTTTAATATCAAAGTTATTGGAGACATATCGAAACGATGATGTGAGTCACCCTGTACGCGTGCATATCCTCTAATCGTAAATTGTTATCTATATCGAGAAATAGTTTTTTATTATAGCAACAAAAAATAGAATATTATACAAATGAGACAGGAAGTATCGCTTATTGTATATAATATTAATGTTAATGCGAGAATGGTAGTTTAGTAAACTGGAACACCGAACGGAAAAGACAACGCACAAGAGTAAAAAGAAAAAACTTTATTTAAACAGGAAGTTCGATCGTTGCGCTTTCGAACGATAGGATATATCAGTGTGCCATTATTTCAAAAGTCACTTTTCGTGCTAAAGATAAAGAAACTTGGCAAATGTTAACTCACTGACACGAAACAATACTAATTTGGTTTGACCATGCCAACGATGAGTCGACAAGTGTGGAAATCTTCAAATTTGTAATATTTATTTTTCTTCCTTTTTTCTTTTCCTCCATCTTATTCCTTTTCAAAACTCGCGTGATTTTATTTAATACATTTTATACACAAATGTCTCTTTTTCTTTTTATTTTTTAATAATCTTTCGTAACGATCGTAGAACAAAATTTTACGATGAACATAATTACGCGACTGGATGATAGACATTTATTGACTCGTTCCCAGTAATCATTACATTTCATTTTTCACAAACTACCGTCCTTTTATATTAAACGTTTGTAATTTTCATTCTGTCATGAATATCAAATATGCAGTTGGTTAGAAATCTAATTGCCGTTTCGGTCGTCGTTGGTAAAAAAGATAATTCGAGTTATTTTGTAGATTAAAATTCACCATTTTCAAGGTTGTATTTTTTTTTTTACATTCAAATACGTAAAAAGAAAGCGAACCGAAAAAAAAAATAAAGAAAAAAAATCTTATCGACTCCAAACAATTTCTTTTATTTGGGATAAAAGAAAGATACAAAAAAAATAAAATGAAATAATGAAATATTTATTTGAGAATTTAATCGGGAGATGTTACCAAAATAATAAACTGGATCATTCGATCAAACGATGGATCGATTGATCCATCGATCGATCGAACGAATGAACAAACGAACGGATAGAAAGAAAAATTTTCGTATTTAACCTCGTGGGTAACTCGTGTTGGACGAAAAGAGTTGAACAAAAATATTGTCGAGCCGAGCATGGCAGCTGTCCATAATGACTCATCGTCGTAAAATAATGAAAGAAAGAAAGAGAGAGATAGAAAAATACGCACACCTATAAAAACATACTACAGTAAATAATCGTGAACGCGTATGCATAAAACACGGACACCTATAATAATAATAATAACGATGAAACCCATACACTCAGAAAAAAACCATATACGTTTATAATCAACGACACGTATATATATATATATATATATATATATATATTCATAAAAAATATGAACGCTTATATACACGCACACACGTATAAGAAATGATTTATTTTTGATACGCGTGAAACGATAAGAAAAATACATACGCATTGATTCGCTAAGAATATTTTTATCAATGATAAAAAATAACTTAAGGATCAATTCTTAACATTAATACTCGTAGGATACAATTACGTTTTATTTTTTATTTCATCGTATTGGTGGCTCTTTTTTATTTGATCCTCGTAAGACGTCATTCTGATTTCATTTAAAAACGAGATGAGTGGGGAAAGTGAAAGAAAGAGAAGTAGTTTCTTTCTTGTTAGCAAGGGCAAGGTCGAATAAAACATTATTAAATTTCTGTGGTCGTGATTAGAGAGAGATGCGTGGTCGTTGTATAGGGTTTGTGGTATGCACGTATCCACACACACAAACACACATATATAAATATAGTTAGTCACATGAGCGTCATGCAACTGACGCATCCAGCTTCGAGAGATATAGTAATCTATAAAGTGATACGCTATGGATACTTTATTCGCGTTTCTTAACAACATTTTTTTTTTTTTTACGAGATGACAACAAAATATTCTTTCTTCTCTTCCTCTTTGTTTCATCTTTTCTTTTATATTATTTTATATTTTTTTTTGTTACTTCTCGTTTAACCTGTATTTTATTTATTCAATTGAATAACATTTTTGCGAGAGGAATTATTTTTTTACCTCTCCCCCCTATAAATCAAATTAAGTATTCTATTTTTGGTCATCGAATGCTTCTTCTACGTCTTTTCTTTTTTTTCTATATCTATTTCTTTTTTTTTTTTTATTATTAGTTGTTGATCGAAAAGAAAAGATACTCGGTAAGGATATCAACGTATTAATAATATCATTGTGTAATCGTAACATCGAACGTACCACGACCGGTTTTTAAATGTCTCATTTAAAATTCGGAATATAAATTTGATTGCTTTACCTTATTGAAATTTTATTTTTTATTATCTCACATATACGATTTTAACTATCAATAATATATAATTATTTGTGTGTATATCTATATAAAACATTTAATTTATTATTTAATCGGAAAGATATAATATATACGCGTATTTTGTTAAATGCATTTTACAAGGAAAAAAAAAGTATTCAAAGTGATCCTAATATCTCGAAATAATAAATCAAATAGCAACAAACGTAACGTAGCGTGTTAACTTTGCATTATTTAGTTAAAAAGTAATATAAATAGTACATAAAATAGTACATCGAATAGTACAGGTGAATCACCCCGTGTGCACAATTGTGTGTGTGGGTGTACGTACGTGTGTTCCGATAAAAGCAGAAACACGCGAGTTTTACTAAAGATCCCTTTTTTTTCTTTCTTTCTTTTTTTACCGTGCTATTTCCGAGGGGAAAAAAAAATATTGTTTATTAACGGGTGGCCCCATAGAACAAACCCGTAAAGAAATATGTTGAGCAGGACAGAAGTAGGTTAATGTTGCGTACTGTAACGAATTTAACTAGGTCACGCCTCGTTCTCTGTGTGTTTCTATGCTCGTCGTATACACCGACGAGTAAAAGTTTCAAATCGTTTACGTAAAAATCGAATAAACCGAATCATTTTAGAAATGATGCATCGTTTTTATTTTATCAAATTTCAACGCATTACCAAAGTCAAAACAAAATGAAGTAAGATGATATAATAAACGCAGATTATTTTTTAATATTTTTTTCAGATTATCTTATTTTAGATTAGAAATAAAATTAGATAATGTTCGTATCTACTTGAAAGATAAACAAATCACGATTCTTATCATTTTACCTTTTTACAAACCAAGATTTCACGGCCGTTTAATTGTGTATTTATTTTTTTTTTTTTGTTTTATTGCAACTTGACATTGATGAGTAG